TTCTTTTTTCGTGATTTCCTGCGAAACAAAGCAAAAAGGAGCATATGTCTATAGGACTTTTTTTCTTAGTTTTTTACTCCTCTACACGCTCCCGAAGTTTTGCCATTTAATTTGGAAACACCCTGTACAAACGCCACGCATGTTATCTCGTTTTTGTTCTTAAAAATTTTTTTAATTTTGCAACCCTGATAAATCGGGGTGGGAGTTAATTGAAAAATTTGATTTAAAAAAAAATGAATACACTATTATATACAGCATAAAATATTGTAAAACTATTGTATAAACCATTTTTTTATACGCGGCATAGTTTCGAAGATATTTGCTGAAAACGAAAAAATCCATTTTCTTCAAGGGGGTGTTTCATCCCCTAAACCTCGAGATAAGCCGCTATAAAAAAATATAGGTCGAATATTTTTTGATGCTCTACAACATATCCAAAGCGCATCAAAATCGGTGAGGGACAGTTCTGATCGTTCCCTTGTAAGACGTTTGGTTAGAAATAAAATTTGAATATACATCCAATTTTTATATAAGGAGGGAGGTGTGACTATTATCCATATATCAACCTTAGAATTTAATCTTAGGATAAAAAAGCGTTAGAAATATGACTTTTTTATGCTCCACTTTTTGTAATCCTTGTCCATTTATCTATGGACAAAGGCCTCTTAGGATAAGAATAGAAATAAGACTTTCTATAAAAACAACTCAGTAACTCGAATTTTCTAGAAGTTTCTCTAAAGCCTTTAAATAGAGAACTCTTGGACTAAGCGAGCAGTCTATCGAGTTCTGCGAAACCAGTCGCATTTAAAAATGAATATTGTATTAGATCAATAGTTTTTTATTTGAAAGAACATTATTGCAAATCTTAAAAGTGAATATTGTACTAGATCAATAGTAAAAAGTTTTTTATTTGAAAGAACATTATTACGAATCTTACATCCAAGACGTAGTGTAACATGAATTTAATGTTCGTAGAAGTTACACTTCAGCAAATACCAATTAGCAAAACAACTATTAATATTTCCCCACCCAACAGTTTAACTATAATGACTGCGTTCATCAAAGTCAAATGATCAGTGAATGCTCAGTTCTTCGCTGGATCTAACATTGTAACATATAGGAACCAGTCATATTAAGGAATCTACTGACGATCTTCTTTCTGCTGAACACACTCAATGTCGTGTATGTATATACGAGGGTCGTTTGAAAAGTTTTGAGCCTAACATAGAAACAAGTAATTTTTCGATCAAATTCAATTTTATTTTTCCACATAGTCTCCTTTTAAATCGATACATTTTTTCGAGTGATGCTCCCACCCCTTTAATCCATTCAAATAATACTGAGCGTCTTGCTTTGCAAAATAGGCATCTACGGATGCGATGACCTCGTTCGATGAAAATTTCTGTCCTCCGAGCCAAACTTTGAGCCTAGGAAACAGAAAAAAGTCGCTGGGGCCAGATCTGATGAATACGATGGATGGTCAATTAATTCGAACCGCAATTCATGAATTTTTATCATGGCGACTGCTGATATTCGATTTTTTCCATTTTTACAAAAACATTGACATTGACTGGCACAAATGACTGTCAAACAACAACTAAGCGCCGGAAGTAGCTACAATTTTCGCGGGTATCTTTCAAAATATGTACGATTATAGTACCAAAATTGTTTTGACGAGTAATGCCATCTTCATGTTGAGGCTCAAAACTTTTCAGACGACCTATGTATATTGCGTAATAGTTACATTGTTGAATAGGAAATTAAGTGACAATTATCTTTCTATAGTTGTGTTTGTTGGGACGTAAACTTTTCTGCAAGTCACTCTAATTAGAGTTTATAATATTAAATATTGAATCTTATTCCACCGTGAGAACATTTGAGAACACAATCAATAGAATCAGTGCCTTTAACAATCTTAGCGTTTATGAATCTTAAGTGTTTATGTAATTCTGTGTGAATTTATATACTACGTAAAAGTATCAAATTGTTAAATTGCTAATCAATGTAACTCGTGATATAATTATTGCGGTAGTTTAGTAAAGTTTGCGTTTCAAGACCGAAAAGTCATTTCGGCGCACTGTTTAAAGGATTACATACCCCAGACAGCACAGAGTATGTATGATAAATATTTATTAATATTCATTTTTTTAAATGTTGTATAAAATATTGCATATATATTTTACATAAATCTTTATTTGAAGTATTAAAATATAGACTAAATATTTTATGTAATATTTATGATAAATATAAATAAATATTTCCAATAAGTATTTTTTACTTGGATTAAATTATAAATTAAAATATAAATGTTGTGTGCTGTCTAGGACATAGTATATAAATTCATACAGAATTAAATAAGCACTTAAAATCCAGCTAACAATAAGACCGTTCGAAGCATTGATTCTATTAGAATTTATAATCAATGTAAATTATTACTAGAGTGAATGGTGATTGATTTCACCATATTAGTTCTTGCCAAGTCTTTGGATTGTTCGGTATATCCTTATTAATTTAAAAAATATCTCAATAAAAACTCTCGGAAAGAACACATCGTGAAGGATAGAAAGTGTTCTAAAGAAGATAATCGTACATATTAAATTTTAGTTTCAATGTCTATAATAAAAGGAGTCACATTAGAAGAAGAAATGAAGAAGAATCCTCAATTGAAACTATCCGATATACAATCACTGAGAGAGTGGTGCGAGAAACAACCGCACTTGCCAAAAATTGAGGACAACTTTCTCGCTTTGTTTCTTCACAGCAATTACTATCAAATGGAACCAACGAAAAACACAATCGAGAATTATTATACAACCAGGACACATATGTCAGATATTTTTTGCAATCGAGATCCTTTTCAGGAAAAAGGATTACGACAAATCTTCAAATTCGCGTAAATTTTATGAATATTAATGAGCGAATAGCAGTAATATAATTTGTTCGTGTATATAAAATGGCCAATTTATAATATTTAAAATTTTAATCACATTAATACATAATTTAAGATTCATATATATATATATAATATATATGCAAATAAAATAAATCCTATAAGATGTACAGATACATTTTTGAAAGTACCTAGAATATTTTTATTAATATTTTCATACATACTTATTACATGAACTTGATTTAAAATTAATTTGATTTAAAAAGGGCTGCTTTTTCTCTGAATGGATTAACAAAGGATGGCTATAAGATGATATTTGCAACATTGCTGGACAGCGATCTTTCTTTCTATGACTACAATAACTGCTTCAAATATGGCGTAATGACATCCGACATACATTTTCTGATGGAGGGTACAAATAATGGTTACATTTTCATTTTTGACGTTAGCAAATTATCTTTCGGTCATGTTACGCGAGTAAATCCATTGACAGTAAAGAAACATCTGTACTACATTCAAGAGGCAATGCCGATACGTTTAAAGGCAATCCATGTTTTAAACGCGACACCTGCTATGGAATTATTCATGAACATGGCGAAACCTTTCTTGAAAAACGAGTTGATAAAGATAGTAAGTATTACAAATCAATTAATTAAGTTCAATTGTACTTAGCAACAACCGTGTTTTTAAGAAATACAATCATTTGCAACAAACGCGATATAAGCGCGATCAAATAATTCTAATGTAATTGTAATAACTATATGTAATCGTACTCTTTTATAGATTTAAATAAATCATGTCTTATCATTTCAAAATATAATTTTTTATCATCATCGATAAACATGGAAATTTTTGCGTCTAGTTATCCGTAACATCATCATTTTAAATGGGAAAATTATACTCAATGTTATACCATTCTATTTAGACAAGATTTTCTAAATTGATTTAACTTTTTTAGATACATTTTCACGTATCATTAGAGAGCATTTCTGAATATATCTCAGTAGATGCGTTGCCAAACGAAATAGGTGGAAAAGCAGGTTCTGTGCACAAACTAGCTGAAATTCAAGTGAAAACATTGGAAGACTACCGCGAGTGGTTTCTGCTAGATGAATCAACCAGACGCGTTGACGAAGCATTAAGAATCGGCAAGAGTAAAACAGCAAATGATTTGTTTGGTATAGAGGGTAATTTTAAAAAACTCGATATAGATTAATAAATACTTATAACTTTATCTAATTTAATTACGCTACTATTATGTAATCTCTATTGATATTATTGATTTGTACTTCGTATTTTGGAATGTCTTATATAATTATTATATCGTGCATTTGTTTATGCTATTCTTATGCAAACTCTTTTAATATTTATAGTTTGCAGTTTATGTAATGTTTTATTTTCATTTATATGCATCATGCTGTCTAACCGAATTAAAAAAAATGTCTTCACTAACTTTAGAGTTTGTACTTTTTATTTGTACCTTAGTTCATTTGTACTGTCCATTTTCCTTGTCGTTGTAGTCTTCACTTAAAATTTCAATCCATAAGAAACGACGACTTTACTTCGATCGATGATTAAGATTAGCATTGAACTCACGACTGTACTTTGATCCAACAGCGTGGAATTTTTAAAAATTTTACTAATAATGACCTAAAATGTAGCAAATGTAACACAAAACTAGTTAGCACCTCTTCGGTTTTCAGTGGATCATTCTTTTTTTTTACCAAATTTTCAACAGATGGAAAATTTCGGAAAAAGTCGTCGGTTCACTTCTCGAAATTTTGATGGCCTATTTTTAAATTCGTACATCGATTTTTCTCCGGTTTTTTAACAGATCTCCAACAGAGGGATGATCTTGCTCCAAGAAGTTTAACTTTCAATAATTTCGACAGTATTTAGGGTAACTCCGGCAAACACGCCGCGCTGGGATTTATAGACACGCCGCAGAAGTCAGAAAAAATAGAAGGAGTGGGGATAATTTTCCCGCAACTACTCTGTCACATGCCTTTATGTTATATTAATATTGTGTTATGATTTCAACTTCTAACTGTTAATATTAATGAAATTATTATGAGTTGAATCGACTTGTCACTGTAATAAGTTACGCCATCATAAATTATAATCTACATAAAATAATTACTGTAGAGCGTGTAAAAGACCTAGTGGTTATTTCATGATACATTATACGTGTAGAGGAATAGTAAAGCATGTTTTATAGCAAAATACAAGTGCTTTGCTTTCGTATTCTTTGTTTAATTTGCTGTCTCTCTCTTGTATATCCCACCGTTTGGGATATACGGCATTTTCAGCGGATGGGATTTATGCCCAAAGCATACAAAGTGCGTAGATTGAATTCAGTGCACTAAATGCAATGAATATATTACATGAAATATGTACCTCATGTCATAACACTTATAATATATGTAGGAAGATTGTAATTATTATGTATTACTTCATATACATATTCATCATTCTTATTCCTTAATAAAACTTTAAAAACGCATTTTGTAAGTTATTGTGTCATTTTACGTCTTATTTATAAGCAATAAGATCTTTTGTGATGATTACGATATTAATTAGGTCAGACAAAAAAACAATTAAAGACAAGATTACACGAACCATCTCCGATATTAATAAGAAGTCAAAATCTCCAACGGTGATTACTAATCACCGCATTGACCAGAATCATAATTTTGACTGAGATAATGTTGAAATTTTAGATAGAAGCTTCTTATAATAAGAGACTAATATCGGAGATGGTTCACATTAAAAGACAAAAACATGGGATAAACAAACAAAATGATACAAATTCTCTGCTAGAATCATATCTTAACATACAATCTCTTCCCCTTCCTAACATATTGTCCTCTGTCCCCTTCCATTTATATTTTTTCTTTATTTTCTTGTTTCTTTTTTATTATAACGTCGTCTAACATCGTCGAAGATATATGTTCTCTCCGATTTACCGTATTATGGCTTACTTTTGCTTACTGCGTATCACTTAATTAATTTTACGTTTTTCTCTCAACGTTTGACTCACATCATTGTGACAAATTAAGATATATATATGGTACAGTGATAGGCAAAAATAAAAAGCCACCTTATTTATAAAACTACTTTGCTTCATACACAGTATAAAAAAATATTTATATTATAGATTTTTTTGTACTAAAATTGAAAATGTATTCAATTAATTAAACATTTTTAATTAAAAAAAAAAGTCAATTTTTTTTATTTAATGTATAATGCTATGTTGATTTCTAAAAGATTACATATTTAAGTGTGACAAAATAAAAAAGCCAGTTAACGTAATATAGTATTTTAATTTTAGAAAACAGCAATATAATTCTAATTAATAATTAATATGATTTCCTTTAGCCTCAATAACTTTTTGAAGTCTCTTTGGTATACTTTCAATTAAATTTCTCAAATGTTGTGAATCCAGATTCTCCTATGCCAGTTGTAATGCTTCAAAATAGGAGTTCTTGTTAGTTATTCCGCATTTATCAACCCTATTATCCAGAATTGCTCACAGATTTTCAATAGGGTTTAAATCTGGAGACTGCGGAGGCCATTCGAGTTATTTGATACGACAGAAACGAAAAAAAGCTTGACTTTTCTTTCTGTGTATTTTGAGTCATTATTTTGTTGAAAAATAAAATTATTTTCTAATCCGATCTTCAGCAAAGACTCTTCCAAATTTTCATTAATTACGTCAATATAAACATCTGCCGTCATAATCTCATAAATTTTGACGAGATTTCTTACTCCTACCCATGAGAAACATCCCCAGACCATGATATTTCCTCCACCATGTTTTACAGTTTTCTGAATATGTCGATCTTAAAGCTCTTCTCCATGTTTTCTTCGGACTCTAATTCGCTTCTTTTGCCCAAAACTCGAATTTACTTTCATCTGTCCATAGAACTTTTTTTCAGAAGTCTAATGATATATTTGCGTACTTTCGAGCAAATTGCAAACGTTTTTTCTTATTAATAACTCTGATAAAAGGTCGTTTACGTGCGAACCGGATGTGTAAATTTGCGAATAACCTAGATAACATTTGTCAAGATCAAGGCCATTGGTGATTATACCTCTTATTTTCATTTTTACATAAAAATGAATTTTTAGTGCAAAAATGAAAATAAGAGGTACAGCCTGCAATGGCCTTGATCTTGACAAATATCATCCAGAATATAATCCTGAGCAACATTCAAAAGGTTTTAGCCGTCAGTCGGACAACTTGCGTAATGCTAATGCCGATTGTAGTGTAACTTTCGAGTCTTATAACTCGAAAAATACTTAATGAAAAAATATTTTATTATAGTGTTTTGGAAAGCTCTCGAGGTAAGCTACAATAATATGTAATGAAAAATAGTGGGTTTAATTTAAGAAATTAAAGGTGACCTTTATGTGACCTTTAAGCGACTATTCAAGGTCAAATTAATGGTACCATTTTATGGCCCCCTTGAAACCATACAACTTTTGTCTGAAACATTTTCTTGTAAAATGCAAGGGAACGGAAATATTTGGATCCGTCGATTAAAATGGGTCACCCTGTAGATATACTTGAAAGATAAAGAATAATTTATATGACTTTTTAGATAAAACCTCGAAATAAATTATAAATGCTTCCTATTTCATCAATAAAAGCAGCATTGTTTTAATATTTTTATTATTTTATAAAACGAAACAGGATAACTGAGGAGATGGCTTTTTATTTTTGCCGGTCACTGTATGTGTGTAACTTAATTGGTACTAAATTATTATAACATATACATACTTGATTATATAATTTAATTTTAATTGTAACAGTCGTTTCATATATCACATATTTTAATTTGTTTGACTTTTAAGTATTTGAATTTGTATCAATTATATTGCAATATCAGTTTATTATTTTTATTTTTCTGTTGATGTGAACAATTTTGTTGCGTAATATTTATAATTAAAGGCCGCAAGAGACTGAAATTCTAAATTTTTTTTAACAGAACCAGTGTGAGATCTGAAGGCTAGTTGTTTAGACCAGAGCCGATTGGCATTTAAGCTGCGCGTGGGTTGATGAAGTGAGGAGCAGGAACCAAGCTGAAATAATCGGCCGAAATATCCAACTAAATCCTAGTTCTGGTTTAGACTAACTGTGAGCAGCGTGTCTGAGCAGTGTGAAATAAAGGTGAAATAACCCTTACGGAAAAGACCGACTGCCGATTGTGTAGTTATTACTGGGGGTATTACTGTCCGTGTAGTAATCACTACTGATGGATACATCACATGGCAGGTATTACACCGCTGAGGTTATTACTAGAATTATTATTGCTTGTGTAATAATTATGGCCATCAGATTACACGGTGGTTATTACACACCTCTGATTATCCTTGTAGTTATTACTACCGTATAGAAACTACTGCCAGTGGATTACAAGATAAATGCTATATATACCTGTGGATATCATTGAATGTATTGCACCCCATGTAATAATTACTGTCGGTGTAGTGGAGCACGGAATAGTTTATATATTACTCATCTATTATTTATAATAGATGAGTTTTATATTATAAAAACACGCGGATTATAATTGATTGTTTTATTACGATAAATGATTAATTCTGTTATGCAGGAAATGTGTGTGTGTGCTAGAATATGTAAAATGTGCAGTACAAACATCTTTAGGTATATTACAAATTGTAATTACTTAAATTTTTTTGAATTATTAAGAAAAGATTTTTCTCAAAACTTTTTAATATTATTCAAAGAATATTGAAATTTAATTTTAATGGAAATATATAAATTGAAATAGTGCTGAGCGCTAATTAAGATACATCCTGTATGTCTTACAATATTTAAAATTCGCAGTATTTAAAAAAATGCAGATTATATTTTATTTGTCGTTTGTATATATTTTTATTTCAATCAGTTTCTATATAGAGTTTACGAGAAGTATAATGCATCAAATGCGATTATTTTGAACTTGCAAAAATTCATATTTAAATACTACTGGCAGTAATATTTAGGGAGTAATACATTTCAGCAGTAGTGCGAAAAAATCACACACACCAGTAGTATTTCTGTGTAGTTGTCAATAATATGTCTGTGTGATTTTCAGTAATATTTCCAGCAGTTCCCTGTAATATTTCTATGTAGTAGTCGGTAATACCTCGGCAATCGGTCTTTTTCGTAAGGGAAGATTTCAAATGTCATATTATCGTAAGCATTAT